CATTTATTACCCATCCCTAATTGCCCCAGAGAGCAGTTCAAAGTCAACCACATTTCTGTGGGTCTGGAGTTACAAGTAGGCCAGACCAGGTAAGGATGGCAGCTTCCTTCCCTAAAGGGCATTAGTGAACCAGATGGGTTTTTCCCCAACAATCGACAATGGGTCCATGGTCATCATTTGATTCTTAATTCCAGATATTTATTGAATTCAAATTCCACCATCTGCCATGGCAGGATTTGAGCCGGCATCCCCAGAACATTGTCTGGGCTTCTGGATTAACAGTCCAGCAATAATACCATTAGGCCATCGCTTCCCCTATAAATAAGGCATTTATTTATAAAGGCATAGGTGCATCACACTCAGATTTGAGATGGGACTGGTGGGATATTTTTAAAATCTACTTATTGCCAAATAAAGGGAGATTTTGGTCAGGCACTATAGCTTCTGCAGTAGATGGCAAATGGTATCAGCGATCCATGCAAAATGGCATGCTGCCTGGTAACCCTATAAAATCTGATGAGATGAATATTAGAGGGTGTTAACATACATGATCTGCCACAAGTGCAGGGATCACAAAGAGATGTTCAGTGTCTATTTTGTCACTTTTTAGCAAAATGTTATAGAAGTCCTACTTTTTCTACAACTCAACTCAAGCTTTTGATGGTCTTCTTGCATATTCCATTACTTTCACAGAAATCTAACAAATTCAGAATCAACGCATAAGAGTCAAAATGCTAACAACTGGCCATTCACAGTTAATGGACAAAAATGTAACCTTTATGGAAATTAATTCAGTCTTTTTCCCCCTAATTTTCTTCTATTGTGTTAAGGCCAGAACGTATACTTAGATTTTGTTTTCCTTTTGTCTGCAAAGTAGAACCATTTTTTTCTATGTTCTAAAATGGTGATTGCTCTCTTAGCAGCTATATATTCATTTTGTATTTTTGTCAAATAAAATTTACAAATTCCAAGTTATCATTATGTTGAGTCCTGTGCTATGTGCAATGCTTTGCAGAATATTCTTTGCCTCAAAAGAAAGTGGATGCTGGGTCAACTGAAGTTTTAAATACGTATTTTTAGTTTTATGTTCGCTTACGGCATTAGCAGAGCTGGCGAAACAGATGTGAGCAGCAGGTCAGCCACAATCGCCTTGAATGGAACAGCTGGCTTGATGGTCCGATTGGTCTATTCCTGTTTCTGTGTTCTGTGTTTCTGTGTTCCTAAAGCTACCAGGTAACAAAGAGAATCTATTGCATACACTTGATACTCTCTTGGTCCTGTGGACTAAAACACAACCATTACATGGGGTTATTGGAGTACACTGTACAACCCTGGTTTCTCATAGATATTATCTAACTGGCATATTTCTTTGTTCTTGTTCATGGTTTAGATGTGGCCAGATTTCATTGCAATTTCCTGATAGCACTGGTTGTACCCACTAAGGAGAATGGTTTGCTAGATTTTCAACATTAAATAAAACATTAGATTATTACATTTGCTGACTAACTGTGAAGTTGGAAGTGAGGGGTGTCCAATCATCAGCAGTACAGCCTCACAAAATTTACCAAGTCAGGGCTAATGTAACAAACCACACGACAGTACAAATATGGAAAGCCTCTCACATTGCAGCAGCACAATCTGGAAATTCTGGAGCACTAGACATCTAAGGAAGTGTCACTTGCAGAAATTTCATAACCCCTACCTTGAGAAGTCTACTGTCACACACATTTACCATTGCAGCTAAGCATGGCAGTGTGGCCATGGATGTTTGAAGCAGGTTGTTCCAGGAACTGAGTCTGCCGAGTTGGGTCCAGAGATGCTACAGCCACTCTAAAGGGTAGAATTTATTGTCAGCAATATTAATGAGCAACTGATTCACACATGCAAATAAAAGTTGCACTGTCCATTATGAAACCTCCACTAAAAGACAGGGCAGAAGAATTTAAAGAGGTTATGTATCATTGTCAATAGTAGTTTCTATCTAAATTACTCCAATTAATGTTGAAGCTACATTTGTTAGATTGCTACACAGCTGACTGCTGCTGAACTATTTTACAATGCCACCTGGTCTCTATTGTGAAAGTTTCAAGCAGTTAAACTGGAGAAGGAATTAGCTCCCAATAATTCTAAGAACTGCTGAGAGTAGTTCCACTTCCTTATAATTACTCTATTCAACAGGCTCCTGTCAATTTGACTGAATATATTTCCTCAATAATGTTATTTTGCTTAGTTACTATATCTTTGGTTTGGGTATCAGTGGAGAGATGTAAACGATATAGCTTAAAAAAACAAGTGTCAATGCATTTCAAATCATTTTCTTTTTTGCATCCTGCAATGTTTTTACCAAAAATGAAATCCTAGAACAAAAGCTCAAATAACATGCAACTAATATTGAAATATTCCCTAAAAATAAAGTGGTTCAAAATTCTGTTCTAAATTATGAATGGCTGAAACATCACACAGTGAGTGCTAATATTAGACGGGAAGCCACAGCAGTAGCTTCTATCAGACTGTGTAATTGATGACCTGAGTTTCAGCACACTGATTTTTGTACTTTGTCTTTCAGTGCATTGTGCCCGTTTTCAGCGACATACAAGACACACTGGTATACACAAATCATATAAGAACTGACATTTGTATCGCCTAACACATCACTCATAAACACCCCAAAGCACTGTAATGCAAAGGATTACTTTGGAGTGCACTCATGTTATATAGCAAATGCAACAGCTATCTATGTATGGCAGGGACGCACAAATAAAAATGTATTGCTGAATAAAAGCAGATTTCCTTTTTCAGCAATACTCACGTTTGATGGTACCAAACATCTTAAATAAAATAAGATGAAAAACCAGTTAATGTATTTTTGATGGTATTGGTTGCAGCAGGAATATTGGGCAACATATCGGAGCGTTTTTCTTCAAATAGTGAAATCTGATCATATGAACTTGGCCATAGCACAACATCATCCCATTTGACAATGCACCATTCCCTCAGCATAGTACTAAGATGTCAGCCAAGATGATGGGCTGAATTGTGCTATGAAAACAGTGGTGAGGCTAATTGCGCTCACCTTCATTTCTGGGACATTTGGGAAGCACCTTCTGTTGACCATACATATGCAGTGAAAAAATGCTAAAATTGGGAAATTGCTCTCTAGGATGCCCCGCTGCTGTAAAAGCTGCACAATAACAAAGTCTCGTTACCTGATTCAACACCCAAATGTATTGAACAGTGTGAGGTTTCTGTACTAATCTAACATACATAAACTAAACTCATGCGAAAAGGTAATGGTTTGCCCGTTTCAGTTCAATACACTTCTCATGGGTGATAGTCTACATTACAATCAAAACCCTTCTGCAGTTAAAAGCTTAGAGTCTCGTTCTTTCAGAATTCAATATTCCAACTGACACTTATAGTTCAGAAACTATTCTACTTACTAGCAATTCTCTGATAGGTCAATGAGATATATCATTGTTTGGGGACTTCACAAGCTTCAAAATCTCCCCTCCCCCTACCGCATCCCAAAACCAGCCCAGCTCGTCCCCGCCTCCCTAACCTGTCCTTCCTCCCACCTATTCCCTGCTCCCACCCCAAGCCCCACCCCCATCTCCTATCTACTAACTTCATCCCGCCCCCTTGACCTGTCCCTCCTCCCTGGACTAACCTATCCCCTCCCTACCTCCCCACCTACACTCACCTCTACTGGCTCCATCCCTGCCTCTTTGACCTGTCTGTCTCCTCTCCACCTATCTTCTCCTCTATCCATCTTCTATCCACCTCCCCCCCTCCCTATTTATTTCAGAACCCCCTTCCCCTCCCCCATTTCTGAAGAAGGGTCTAGGCCCGAAACGTCAGCCTTCCTGCTCCTCTGATGCTGCTTGGCCTGCTGTGTTCATCCGGCTCTGCACCTTGTTATCTCTATATCATTGTTTACCCTGAGCAGACCAATGCTTTGCAGGGGACATTGCACTATACTTGCTACTTCAGCTGCCAGTGCAACAGTTTACTATAGAACACTGGCAAATGCAAGTGCAGTGTACAATGAGTGACGCTAGTTTGGCACCAACCTCAAAATCCAGTTAAACATGCTCAAACCATAAACCAATCTGAAACCATAACCTTCCATCCTGGAGACAAAGGAAAACAACTAGACTCATTCAGACTTATTAGTGTCTCTGTTCTTTCAAACAATTTGGATCATGATGAAACTATTTAATTTGAAATAAAACCACAAACCTATTTACAAAGAATGCAAGTCAGTTGGAGACTGCCAGCTATGATGGTGATGCTGGGATATTTCAAGGATGAGGTAATATAGCATTTTTAAATTTGCCCTTTACTTTTTATCTTTGATTGTAATGTCTTCAGTTTGGTGGTTTCATTATAAGAAGTATTGTAGGCTAATGTTGGAATATGTTTGCATATTTCTGATGTTGATATTCTAAAGATCAGTCTGGATGTCAAGCATTTTACTGTGTACAGTCTCGATCTAGACAATAATGGAAATATTTTTTGAACAATACATCTATTTATGATCCTTTGCACAGGGTGCAGAGATTGATTATGACCCATTATTAGTAATATTATACCATATTCTCATAATCCACAGTACCTACCTGATTGTAGTTAACCATTTCTTCATTTTGTTTGTAATAATCACAATAAATCAACAAATAAAGGGAAATAAAATAATTGTAATATTCCCTCATTTGCTTTGAACTCCCTATCCAACCAAACTCAATGAAGGGAACTAAATATTACTGTGACCATTGGTATTTAAAGTAAGGTACCAATTTTCACAAATATTTTTAAAATATATATATTTGTAACATTCAAGACAGTACAGTGACATGACAAATTGCAGTACACATAATATTCAAGAAAGTAGCATTATCAGTTCATTAAAAGCATCATTAACAGAACTAAAAATGTTGGAAAGTAAGACTAATGTGTTGAAGATTTTTTTAATATTAACAATGTTATAAACAAAGTCCTACCAGCATCTTCAATGGAGAAGTAGAAAATATCACTTGTTGCGTTGTCACCTTCATGCAAAACATAGAAGATCTTCATGTCATCAATATCAGCTGTTAAAATGGAATTTACAGATAATGAATCATTTGATTGATATATTACTAAATGAATGTTTTCAATACCATCCTAAATGCATCAAGCCCCCATTTACGTTTTTCATTCTATTCTTGTAAATGCAAGTCAGCCATTAAATCTACAGGTTTATACACAGTTCTAAGTTAGTGGTCAATAAATATCCATCACTGGGTGCTTTGAAATCATTGAATTGAAGGAGTGGAATCTTTTATTACATTTTGCTTTACTACATTGAACAAGTAAACACAGAAAATGTAGGAAACTCTCAGCAAGTCTGGCAGTATCAATGCACAGAGAACTAAATTTAAATGAATCTAATAATGAGTTATTTATGTAAAACATTAGCTCTGGGCAGGAATTTCCAGATTTGTCTTCAAAGTGTGGGGTTGGGTATCACAATGCATAGACAACTCTACACTAAAATCAGCACTTCACTTGTACACGTTTTTAAAGATGTTAACCAAAAGTATATCACCTGTCTTTGTTGTTAATGAGAGGAATAGGCCATGACCTCAGTGAGGTCAGGAATGAAATCGGATGGGGTCTAAATATGCAAGCTGGAGTCTGCCCTTGCATTGTTTCTTTTCTGAAATTATCCAATTTGAGCCAATCAAATATTTAGTTAGATGTATCTGGTTGGTGAAATTTCTGTTTGTCAACTACATCCTTCTTACTGGGACAGTTCAAAACAAATTTTGTATAACTGTCATAAAGTTATTACCAAAATCCCAATGCCTCCGCGATCAGGTCTGTCAAAGGTAAAGTCTCCCTCAGGCACCTGAAAGCTTTCCAGTGGCTTTTGTGGAACACCACTTATGGTTAATAACAGCCATTCATCTCATTAACAAAAGCACAGATCACAAGATCACCAGATATAAACTTTCAGTGGACCACAATTACAGGAAAAGCCAAAGACATAATGGATCAGAGGAATGGTAGGAATTCCCAGTCAACAGAAGACATTCACATTTTTCTACATAAAGTTAAACGCTAAAGGACAATAGGAGTTTTAGTCAATGAATCATATGTCATGGTAAATTAGAATTTAGTTTTTAAATCTAGTCGAACATAGTAAATTCAAATGATAGGAATAAAGTATGCTTAAAGCATATTGGTTAGAAAAAATCAAATATGGGAACAGATCCTTTGCAGATAAACAATCTGAATGTTGATTGTGAATGATCTGTTTTAATAATGTTTTATATTGTTTTATACTGTTCGAATCCTAACAACTCTTAAAGAAAATACCCAAGGTTTAAAAAAAGTCTGCATCAATCGTCATTTGTCACTAAAAATGCAAATAATAATTTTACATCAATAGTTTCTGAAGGCAAAGCAAACAAACTGGAAGATTTCAACTTTGATTCATATTGTAAGCATCAAATAAAAAATATAAATTTCGTTTGGAAAAATGATTGCATGAGAATTAGCAGAATACATATTCATATACACATTGGTGTTGGGTCCACTTTGGTTGTCTTTTATACAAACAATTTGGATGAGAATTTAGGAGGCATGGTTAGTAAGTTTATGGATGACACCAAAATTTGTGGCATTGTCAACAGTGAAGAAGGTTATCTGAGATTACAAAGAGATCTTGATCAATTGGACCAATGGGCTGAGAAGTGGCAGATGGAGTTTAATTTGGATAAATGCGAGGTATTGCATTTTGGTAAAACAAACAAGGGCAGGACTTATACAGTTAATGGTAGGGCCTTGTCAAACAGAGAGACCTAGGGGTTCAGGTATATAGTTCTTTGAAAGTTACGTCACAGGTAGACAGAGTGGTTAAGAAGGCATACTTGCCTTCATTGCTCAGACCACTGAGTATAGGAGTTGGGACATCATGTTAAGATTGTACAGGATGTTAGTGAGGCCACTTTTGGAGGGCTGTGTACAGTTCTGGTTGCCATGCTGTAGGAAAGATATTATTAAATTGGAGAGGGGTCAGAAAAGATTTACCAGGATGTTGCCTGGACTGGAGAGTTTGAGTTATATGGAGCAGCTGGATAGGTTGGGACATTTTGCGCTAGAGCTTAGGAGGTTGAGGTTTATAAAATCATGAGGGGCATAGATATGGTGAATAACAATGGTCTTTTCCCCAGGGTGGGGGAGTTCAAACTAGGTGGCTTATTTTTAAGGTTAGAAGAAAATGATTTAAAAGTGACCTGAGGAGCAACTTTCTCACACAGAGGGTGGCTCGTATGTGGAATCAACTTCCAGAAGAAGTGTAGATGCAGGTATAGTTTAAAAGACATTTGGATAGGTACATGAATAAGAAAGGTTTAGAGGGGTATAGGCTAAACACAGACAAGTGGGACTAGTTTAGTTTTGGAAAATTGTTCAGCATGGACGACTTGAACTGAAGGGTCTATTTCTGTGGTCTATGATTCTAAGACACTCAAAATGCTCTGAGATTGAGAATTCCATAAATTAACAACTCTTTGAATGAAGTAATTTACGTTTTGCTCATTCCTAAATGATCAACTCCTTAACTTAACAGTGACCTCCATGATTTTGAATCACCGACCAGGGGAAACAATCTCTCAGTTAAAAGTTAATCATATGGAGAAAAATATCAGGGTGTGCCTATTCTACTGTTTTCCTTAACAAAGGCAAGTTAGAGGTGACAACCAAATACTTTTGGCACTCTTTCAGTGAGGTTGGTCTTAGTCTGCTCTAAGCTTATACTTGACTAATTCTAATTTATGTCCATTGCCTGTAGTCACCTTGCATATGAAAAATTTCTACCATTTACTGACTTTATTTATCTATATCTTCTAAAACAATATACCTCAATGAGGTGTTTCCTTAAAACTACTTGTTCCGAGGCTACAGGTCAAGAAACATTTTGAATTTATATTAAAGCTAATTCTTTATAATAGAACATGTCTCATTGCTTTTCTACGCATCTTCTCTATAGGATATAGATTTTATTATGATTTACTGACCAAAATCATACACTTGTGTCTGAAACACTTTATTCAGTAATTTTGCATTCAACCAGCTGTGCCTTTGGTGCATCCCCACACACTTTTACAAATTATTCGTAATTGTTCCTTCATCTGTCCTCAAAGTTCTGAAATTCTCCCCTTAGGTATGTTCATGTCTTCTCTTTCCTATTCTTTAAGGATAATACTTATAATCCAACTTAGTAATCAAGATTTTTGTCAGATATCCCAAAATCATCTTCTTTGACTTCATATCAACTTAGAGCTCAGAGTATATGATCCCCTAGAAAAATGTGAAAATGAGATGGTTGAATTTAGTATTCAATTTGAAGGTGAGAAACATAGGCCAGAAACAAAAACAGAAATTTCTGGAGAAACTCAGCTGATCTGGTAGTATCTATGGAAAGAGAAACACAGTTAGTAATGAAAGGTCACTAGGCTCAAAAATTGTTGAATTCTTTACTGCAGAGGGCTGTCAAGATTGGGAGACAATAAGGTCTGCAGATGCTGGAAGCCAGAGTCAATAGATGTGAAGCTGGAAAAGCATGGCAGGTCAGACAGCTTTGAAGGAGCAGGTAAGTCAACATTACAGGCCAAAGACTGGGTTGTTAAGTACATTCAAGGCTGAGGTGGACAGATTTTTAATCAGTAAGGGAATCAAGAATTATGGGGATAAGGTGCTAGAAGGTGGAGTCGAGGACTATCAGTCAGCCATGATTTTACTGAATGACAGAGCAGCTCAATGGCCTGAACTGATAAAGCAGATTCGATGGGGCAAATGGAATTCTTCTATTCCTACATCTTGCGGTCTTATTTCTGTGAATGGTGTTTGTTATCATAATATTTGTGTCACAGTCCGGTCAGTTTCACAATTGGGTGAAATAAGTTAAAATTGTCACTTAGCTGAGGTATTATTAATGGAGGCATAGAATACAAGAGCAGTGAGGTTAATCTGAGCTGATATAAAACAGGAGTTAAGTCACAGCTAGAGTATTATGTACATTTCTGGGCACCATACTTAAGGAAGGATGTAAACATGTGGATAGAATGCAGAAGAGGTTTAAAAGCTCCAGGGATGAGAAACTTCACTTATGAAGATAGCTTTGAGAAAGTTTAAGTAGGTAGTGAGGCAGAAGAAAGGAAATTATAGACTGATTAGCCTGACCTCAATCGTTGTTACGAGTTTAGGAGCCATTATTAAGGATCAGATTGTGGAGTACTTGGAAATACATGGTAAAACAGGCCTGAGTCAACACGGATTCATCAAAGTGAGGTCATGCTGGACAAATCTGTTAGAATTCTTTGAAGAGGTAATGAACAGGTTAGACAAAGGAGAGCCAGTAAACGTTATCCATTTGGATTCCAAAAGGCTTTGACAAAGTGCCGCACAGCAAGCTGCTACATCAGACAAGAGCCCATGGTGTTAGGAGCAAGGTACTAGTATGGATTGAGGACTGGCTCTGGCAGAAGGCAGACAGTGGGGATAAAGGGGTCTTTTTCAGGATGGCAGCTAGAGGAGCTCCACAGGAGTCAGTTTTGGGGCCACAACTATTCAAGTCATTCATTAAGAATCAAGAAGGCGCAAAAATAGTGTTGAAGAAGCGCGGGGGCTGCTGTAGGACAAGGACATGCTAAGTGGCAGGTGGAATATAATGTGGGAAAGTGTAAGGTTATGCGCTTTGGTAAGAAAAATAGAGGCATAGATTATTTTCTAAATGGGGAGAATCTGAAACACAAAATGACTTAAGAGCGCTAATTCAGAATTGTGTTAAGGTTAACATGCAGGTTCAGTTGACAGTTAAGAAGGCAAATGCACTGTTAGCTTCATTTCAAGAGGGCTAGAATATAATAGCAGGGATGTACTGCTGAGATTGTGTAATGCTCTGGTCACACCACATTTGGAGCAGTTTTGGGCCCCGTATCTAAGGAAATTTGTGTTGGCCTTGGAGCAGGTCCAGAAGAGGTTCACAAGAATGATCCCAGAGATGAAGGGCTTGTTGTATGAAGAACGATTAAGGACTCTAGGTCTGTACTCGATGGAGTGTAGAAGGACGAAGGGAATCTCATTGCAACTCACACAGTACTGAGAAGCCTGGATAGAGTGGGCATGGACAAGATCGTTCCACTAGTAGGGGAGTCTAGGATCTAAGGACATAGTCTCAGAGTGAAAGGTTGACCATTTAAAATTGACATGAGAAAGAGTTTCTTCAGCTGAAGGGTGGTGAATCTGTGGAACTCATTTCTACAGAGGGCGTGGAGACCAAGGCATTGAGTGTTTTTAAGTCAAAGATAGATTGATTAATAAGGGGATCAAGGGTTATGGAGAGGAAGAAGGAGAAGAGGGTTGAGAAAGATATCAGCCGTGACTAAATGGCAGAGCAAACTCGATGAACCAAATTCTGCTCCTATGTCTTATGGTCTTATGATATAAGATGGAATTGTTGGCCTTGGAGAAGACAAAGATGAGATTTGTTTGAATTTTTCAAAATCACCAAAGGTCTGGACAAAATAGACAGGGAGAAACTCTTCCTACTTGTAAACAGATAAAGAACAGAAAGTGATTAAGTAAAGAAGTAGATGTGATGCGAGAAGAACCGTTACATACAGCGAGTGGTGGCATGCTGGTTTAGTAGTTAGCACTGGCGTTTCATAGATCCAGGGATCCAGGTTCAATTTCAGCCTCGAGTGATGTCTGTGTGGAGTTTGCATATTCTCCCCATCTCTGCATGGATTTCCTTTGGATGCTCCAGTTTCCTCCCACAGTCCAAAGATGTGCAGGTTAGATGGATTAGCCGTGCTAAATTGCCCATAGTGTCTAAGCAAGTGTAGGTTAGGTGGACTAGCCATGGAAAATACAGTGTTACGGGGATAGGGTGGATGGGTCTGGATGGGATGCTCTCCAGAGGGGTGCTGCAGACTCGATGAACCAAATAGCCTGCTTCCACACTGTAGGGATTCTATGATTCTAAGTGAAATGCACTGGCTAGAAGTATAATGGTGACAAATTCAATTCAAGCATTCAAGATGCTTGTTTAAATAGAAATTACATGCAGGGTTACAAGAAAAAGGGGGAGGATAATGCTAAGTCATAATGCTCATTCAGAGAGGTGGTACACACATGATTGGTCAACTAGCCTTCTTCAACACTATTACTATTAATCCTTCAACCAATTCAGTTTCATTGAATTTCTGCTTGTGGTACACATATACTAATATTCTTTGCAGAATCTCGCTTCTGCACATTAAATGACAGCTGTTATCAGCATACTCATTCCATTAATTGGTCTAATTTTCTGCTGAAATATTTTACAGTCCTGCTCATTCACATCAACTCCTACCATCTTTTTGCATTTGTCAACAAAAATTGAATATTGTACTTCTTGGTGGCAAATCCCAACTAAGCATAAGACTTTCAACACAGAATAAACAGCAACTCAGCACTAACCGCTGATGAAACCTGGAGTTAACCTCATCTGTACAACCCTCAGTCATATAACATAATATATTTACCCACTGTCCACCTGCAGAAAGTTTGCAATAAAGGTGCTTTTATACCACTACACTCAAAGGTTCGAGGTACATCAATTCAAGCTGTTAATTAGGAACTTTTTTTAATATTGATAGATAACAAAATAACCTGAGGGACAATCATAGCCATAGATGGTGGACCTGAATGGACTCCCCAAATATGTGAAGAAATTGTATCCAAATAGATGGATGGCTGTATCAATTGATAACTTGCTTTTCTATATTTCAAGGAACACCTTAAAATTCAAAAATGATTGAAATATTTTATACCAAAACATGAGTCAAATAGGAAGATGCTTTATTTTTCTTTGTAAACAAAATAAATGCATTTCTACTGACTAACTGAAAATCCTTTTCATAAAATGTGCTGAAAAAGTAATATTTCCTATGACAATGACATGGTCTAAACATATCAAATTCATAAAAACCCAAAAGAACTGCGGATGCTGGAAATCAGAATAAAAAACAAATTGCCAGAAAAGCTCAGCAGGTCTGGCAGCATTTGTGGAGAGAAATCAGACTTAACATTTCACGTTCAGTGACCTTTCCTCAGAACATGAACAAAATTCATGCTTTTGTTTTCTATGTTTTAACTCTTTTCAAATCATGACATCAAAGATTGTCAAAGATTATTTAACTTGGTTCACTATTATCCATTCTTTTGCCCGCTTTGGATGTTTATGACTCAAAGCTCTAAAGAATAACTTTCAAAATAGTATAGGTAATTGTTTTGATAATTAATGTCACTGCATATTAGACCAATGTCTCAAAAACTTTTAAGAGAGCTTACACCAACTTAATGAATGTTCACCATGTTGATTACGATCTGCATCTAATAAAGATTGTACCAGATTCTGCTGTGATCCTTTATCTACACAAGACACCAATTTACTTACATTTTTTTAGCAGTTTGGGGAAAGTGTATTACCTAAGAACCTCTTGGCGAACCACTTGACTAACCACTTCTAACTTCAAAGTATTTTTAAAATAAAACAGTTTTCATAAACCAAATCCTTCATTCCACTGACAATGTGACACAAATCATTTCAACTTTTAATTCTGTTACTTTGTTCATTTGTTTTGAACTTTCATTTGTTTTGAACTCCCTTTATAGGGCTGCTAACACTTCACCAGACCTCACTAATCAGAGTTGGAAAGGTCAATTTTTGTTCATTCAGTTCCAGCAAAAGCAGTTATGTAAGGATAAAAAGCATACAAAAACTTTATTGTGTAAATAAAAGTGTTCAAATGCCTGATGTATTATTTGATGCCCTCTTAGTGCAAATTATGCTCAGCTACCAGAAATGTTGCTTCAGCACTAATCACTCTTGAGGAGCAAATTATTGAGCTGCAGATATATGGGCAAAAATGCAACAAAACAGACATAACAGTGAGCCAGCACATGTAAAAGACTTCATTGTTCTCAAGCCACAAGCTACTTGTTCATGTTGTTCTTTGTAAACCTAAATATTTGATGATACTATACAAATTAAACTAGATATCCAATTTAGCTTATGCACAATTGATTGTTATTCTTTAATACAGAGATTAAACATACACTAAGAAATCATTTCAGAAAATATTTTGTGTGAAACATAGTTCTGAAAATGTTTTGCACACTAACCTTGGCTGAATGTGGTGACACTGTCATTACCCAAATTAGTGTTAATGATGTAGCCATGCTCTGGCCCCTCTGTAATCCTAAACTTCAGGCACTTGTGTGGGCTATCGCGGTCTTCGGCCTTCAGTGCCTTGCTGGAAATCAGAAACCCAAGGAGACCAGTGTGCATAATTCGAACGGTTGGAGCCCCTTTATTGACAACAACTTGTGGAATACTATTATCAACTGCTGATATTTGGATCTTCATCATCTGAGGCCTGCGGGTTTCAAACACAGTATCTGGGAAAACATAATATTCAGTGTGTGCGCCATCAGTTATTGTGAAAGAGAAGCTGTCTTCAAACGTCTCCGTGCCATCATGCCTGTAGCTAATAAGATTTTCGTTGAGATCCTGCTTGGTGAAGCTTGAGATTGGTTGGCTCCCATTAAATAACAATTGACCATGAACAGGAACTTGGGTGATTGTGAAATGTAGATGATAGTCTGGAGCGTCACGGTCCTCAACTGTGAGTTCAAATGGAGTGATAAGTTTCATTTTCCCTTCACTCACAACAAGATCGTTAACCTTGAGTATGGGTTTCTTATTGTCTACATCCGTTATTGAAACGCAAAAAGTACGAAAAACTGGATTGTAACCATCAGTCACCTCAAACTCAAAACTGTCTATTTTAATTTCATCATCTGAGATGTGGATGTGATAGGTTTTGTTTCCTGCTAATTGTAACTGAGTGAAGGAGGTAATTGGGTCACCAGGATTATCAGTCTTCTCTAGATGACCATGACTTGGGGCACGTGTGATGCTGAATCTTAAGTATTCATCAGGGCTATTAATATCACTGGTACTCAGTAAGTCAGTGGTCAGTGTAACCTTCCCGCCTTCCTTCAGTGTAACTCCTTTGTTAATTACTTCTGGGAATAACATATCAATGCTGCCAATGGTAATAATGAAATAACGGTCAATTCGGGTGTTGATGCCATCCGTTACATCAAATTTAATGAGATCACGTACTCCTTCTTGGCCAGTGTGCACATACTGAATCAATCCTTTATCAATTTCATCCTGAGTAAAATTCATGCCAACAGTGATATTCTGAAGCACATCACCATCTTTCATCAGATGCTGCAATAAACCTTGATTTTGGCTATAACGTCAATGGTGTGGTGGTGTATGCTCATACCAGTGGGGAAATTGGGACTCAGAAGAAAAATGATTCCTTCAACTTGACTATATCTGACATGTCAAATGAATGGATTGTTGGTGGAAACAAAGTTCATGGAGTCAGAGTTCAAGTCACTATTTTGCCTGTGGACAGTGTGGTACCTGAGGTCATTATTGGTGTAAGTCAATGTTTTGTCATCTGAATCTAAGTCTGTTGCTTTTAGGATTCTGTTGGTTATCAGCTTTGTTTCACCTATTTCAACTTCCAGACCATTATTAATGGCCATCTGTGGTGTTTCATCATCAACAAGAATGATCATGATGAGGACTGTCTTATCCACTGTATGTTTGCCATCTGTCAGTCTAATGTCAAAGCTGTCTTCTTTGGTCTCAGAATCATCATGTTCATATACAATTTTTGAACCAACTGAAATTTCCTCTAGGGTAAAATTTTTGACTGGAAGAGTACCTTGTGCTAATTGTTGCATAATCTGCCCATGTTTAGATGGCTTGATTATATAATAAAGCTCATTAGCAGGGATGTCTGCATCAGCTGCATTCAAAATTGGAGTGTCGACAACAAGGCTCATCCCCTCCATCACAACAAACTCACGGATTAAAATCTCTGGCTGTTCGCCATTAGTTGGAATGATGACTATTGGGAAGAAGTGACGCCGAGAGAAATTAATGCCATCTGAACAACGGAAGGTGAACCTGTCCTCGATCTTTTCGACATCTTTGTGAATGCTTTGCACGTATTAGATATGCTGATCTTGAATGTCTTTAATTGTAAATGCACTAATGGCAGTGCCAATCCTTGACTTCTCAGACCCAGAAGCTGGAGAAATATTTTCAACATATCCAAAAGTAGATTGAACAATGATTGTGCACAAAATATCATCTTTAGGAGTATCTAAATCTTCAGCATTAAGGTTTACCAGTGTAATGACATTCTTGTCCCCCTCTAAAACAGTATATTGCACACCAATAATGACCTCAGGTACCACACTGTCCACAGGCAAAATAGTGACTTGAACTCTGACTCCATGAACTTTGTTTCCACCAACAATCCATTCATTTGACATGTCAGATATAGTCAAGTTGAAGGAATCATTTTTCTTCTGAGTCCCAATTTCCCCACTGGTATGAGCATACACCACCACACCATTGATGATATCCTCCTGGGTGAACCTCTCCGCTAATAATCCGTTGACTAATACCTCACCAAGTTTAGGGGGTTCTTCCACTATGAAGGTCAACATTAAGTCATCAGTATCTTCATCAGTGCCCTGGATAACATTAGTGGTAATTTTGGTGGCCCCATTCTCAAGAACATCGATGTGAGAGCCAAGCAGCCCTTCAGGAAGCATAATAGTTGGTATCTCATCATCTACTGGTCGGACTGTAACTCTGATAGTAACTGGCACTTTATGGACCCTGTCGCCAACGTCTATTTTAAATGAATCATTTGTAGACTCATCACCACTATGCCAGTACACAATCCGGCCACTTGCAATATCATCCAAGATAAATGCTTCACCTACAGAAATTGTGATGCCTACATATTGTAAATGGCCATGCTTTGGAACTTGTGTCAAGGTGAATGTTATTTTGTCCTCCTCAGTATCCTGATCAGTGGCATCTACCTCTGCTCTGGTTAAAATAAAGTGACCCCGTTCGTGTACAGTGAAACCAGTGTTAGTGATCTGAGGAGGTTTATTGTCCACTGGCTGTAAAAATTTTGTGAAAGTGCCCTGCACAGAATTGCCCGCAGTGTCCTCCACCAAGTAGGTCCATTGGATCACTCGGGGAGTGATGCCCAGCTCCTGGTTTGGGGGCCTGTAGGCGACCTTGTGGTGATTCACTTGGGCCTGGGTGAACTCGGTGAGAACCACCGCGGGGTTTTCGGTCAGAACGATCCTCCCGGTCTTGACCGGATGGTTCTCAGCGTCGGAATCCAGGTCAGTGTAGCGCAGGAACTTCTTCCTGAAGTGGGTGAGCTCGTATTCCTTCACCTCCATTTGGAGGAGGCTGCCCGGGAACAGTTCTGGCGGGATATCGTCAATCGGTTGGATTTTCACGGTGAAGGTGTGCTCGCCGGACTGGTTGGGCGGGTCGTTGTCGTCCTGTACCCGGAAGGTGAATGTGTCGGTCAGCGTGCTGCTGCTTTGAGGCCCGATGTGGCGGTAGTACAACTTACCGTCCAGGATGTCCTGCTGGGACCACTCGGTCACCATCTTCTCGTACAGCTCCTGGCTCGGCATGGCCGTCCAGGAAGAGGGTTGGTCGGGCAGGTCCGACTGCCTGAGCAGGAAGACGCCGATTTTGGAGCAGGGAGGCTGCAGGACGAAGCGGATGGTGGAATCCTCCGAATCGATGTCGGTGGCGCTCAGGGTAAACGGGGAGATCTGCAGCATCTGGTTCTTGAAGAGGACCAGGCCGGTGTTGGCGTTGATAACCGGAGGCTCATCATCGGTCGGTGCAATAGTGATGGGGAAGAGGAACTCCACCTGATGCCTGCCATCGCTCAAACGGAAGACGATGTTGTCGCTGTAAGTGTCCGAGTCGTCGTGCTGGTACACCAACAAGCCGCTGTCCACATCGGCCGCCGTGAACGACTTGCGGCGCTCGCCCAGCACGGTGAGCTCGCCGTGCCTCAGACCGGCCACCACCGTCAGCCGGAGCCGCTGGATCGGCTCGTCCTCGTTGCTGAGCTGCAGGTTGAGTCCGCCGGCCAGAGCCCGCGACTGGCCTTCGAATAGCAGCTGCCCGCTGTTCCTGGTGGCCAGCGGCGCCAGCGTGTTCATGGGCTTTACTAGGAACATGAAGGCGAAGCTGTCTGACCTGGCTCCCTCGGTGTCCACCACCTCCAGCTCCAGCTGGAAGATCCTCCCCACGTCTGAGTCTCCTCCAGGAGGCTGGTATGCGATGTTCAGTTCCCTGATATCCCTCTGCGAGAAGGAGGTGATCGCCAGGTTCTGGTCGTCCGTGCTGATGATGTGACCCTGCCGGGGCCCTAGCCCTGAGCTGATGGTAAAGACGAGGTGGTCCGCCGACGTCTCCAGGTCCTCAGCCGCCAGCATGTCCGGGGTGATGGCCGTCAGCACGAACTGGTCCACTTCCATCATCATTAGGGCCTCGAAGCTAGGCTTGGGCGGCGTATTCTCAGCGCCCTCCCGGATCCTCACCATCACCTGGAAATACTCCTGCCTCAGCGGGCTGCCCTGCCAGTCCAACAGCTCCACCAGCATGGGGATGTAGTCCCTGTTGGGTGAGGTTCCCCACGCCGTGTGCTCATAGCGGATGCCCGAGCTCAAGAAGCGGTCGCAGTCCACCATCTGACCCGGGGTCAGATTGAGCAGCCGACCGTACCTGGGCAGACCACTGGCGCCCAGCAGGACGCCCAGCTTGCAGCTTTCCGAGCCTCTGTTGAAGGTGTAGCCCAGCACCTTGTGATCGATCGCGTTGCTGGTGCCCCTCAACTTGTCGAGGAGCAGCGGGACGTTCCGGGTAAGGATCTGCAGCTGCTGGAACACCACCTCGACCTCCAGCATGAAGGGCACAATGATCGTGTCGCTCTGGCTATCGTACCTGAGTTGCAACCTCACACGGTCCCGGTTCGGGCTCCTGGAGCCGAAATGAGTGTACTTGACATTCTCTGGGCCGAAGTCACAGGGGAATTTCTTGGGCGACAACATGCCGTGTCTCTGAGAGAGGGGGTCGTTCTCCAACACCGTGACCAAACACCTATCCCCCGGCCGCACTTGGATCACCAGGTCGCTGCTGGGGTCGATGTGGACCCACCTGCCGACCGGGACTCTCACTCCGCTGTTCGCCAGCAGCACCGAGGTCGGGCTCACTTCGTGCACCAGAAAAGGCTCGATCTGCCCCTGAGTACTCCCTGCCATCAGCAGCAGCAAGTTCAGCGAAACGACAGCCTGGAGCCGAGAGCTGGCACTCAGTCTGCAACTCCACACGGCCATCATCTCGGGGGCTGAAACTTCCCAACCACCGGCCATCGGTTCCCGCTGCATCTCTCCAGGGGACACCACCGCTCACTCACCGAAACCAGGCACTGCAGCCCGCTGCCAACTCCAGGTAAAACTGTGATCGGACAATCCCAATCACAGACCCCCACACTCTTACCATAGGGACAGACTCCGCCCTCACTACAGACCCCGACCACAAGCCCCAGCCCTCACTACACAGACCGCCGCCTACAGAATACCCCCCTCCAGACAATACCACCGACTTACCACCGGCCCCTACCCTGTCCACAGACCCAGCTCCCCAACTGTAGACCCCACCTGGAATATTCTGCCAGGGTCAGGCTTTTAAAAAAAATATATTATGGGATGTGAACGTCTGTGACATCGATTGTTGCTACATCACCTGAGAGGTGGTCTCTTTTAGAGAGGACATTGATTTTCGTTTTATTCATTCCTGAGATGTGAATCAGGAACAAAAACAAAGTTGCTGGAGAAGCTCAGCAGGTCTGGCAGCATCTGTGAAGGAAAGCACAGAGTTAACATTTCGGGTCCGGTGACCCTTCCTCAGAACTCTTTCAGTTTTTATGAGATGTGAATTGTTGACTGGCCCGCATTTATTGCCCGTACCTAGGTGCCCTGGTGGTGGTGAGCTGCCTTCTTGAATTGCTGCAATCTACCTACTGTGGGTTGACCAACAATGCCCTTAGGGAAGAGATTCCAGGATCTTGACCCAGCAATAGTGAAGGATTGGTGATATATTTTCAAGTCAGGATAGTGGGTCACTTGGAGGTGGTGGTGTTCCCATCTATCAGCTGCCCTTGTCCTTCTAGATGGAAGTCCTCATGGGTTTGGAAGGTGCTGCCTGAGGATCTGAGGTGAATTTCTGCAGTGCATTTTAGTGCACATTGCTGTTACTGAGTGTCGGTGGTGGAAGGAGTGGATGTTTGTAGATATGGTGCCAATCAAGCAGTCTGCTTTGTCCTGGATGGTGTTAAGCTTCTTGAGTGTTCATAGAGCTACATGCATCTAGGCAAATGGGGAGTATTCCATCGTAGTCCTGCCTTATGCCTTGTAAATGTGCTTTGGGTAGTCAGGAGGTGAGTTACTCACCACAATATTCCTAGCCTCTCACCGGTTCTTGTCATTGAAAATCTTGCTGTCCCTGGGGTCACTTGTAAGCCAGACTTCTTTCCAAGGCATTATTGAACAGATGATTTTCCACCATCTTTACTTTACATCATCTTTTATTCATTTCAAAATTTGCTACCAGGTTTGAACCCAGGTCCCCAGTACATTGGTTACAAATTAGAACGACTAATCCACTGATATCACAGCCTCCCATGCCAGACTGGGGAACACGAGCTGCTGTACTCTGTCTGGATCAGGTTGAATGTTGTTTCTTAGAAATTTTTCTCCATTTTCTTATAAAATTTGCCAATGAATCTATTTACACAAATCACTGTTGTTTTCTCCTGCTACAGTGTATGATGCTTAACTATTTGCTCAGTTGTTTTCCAAACCACAATGAAAGAGTTTCCTGATCTTTCCAGTGTATTATTTTATTGTTGGTTTCAGAGCTTCAGTGAAGAGATCATAGATGAAACTGTGTTGACATAACCAAAAACAGAATTTGCTGGAGAAACTCACAAGGTACAATAGAGAGAACATCTGGAGTGTGAACAATTTTGGTTCTCTTATTAAGGAAAGATATTTCATTGGAGGCAGTTCAGAGAAAGTTCGTTAGGATGATCCCCTGAATGGAGGAGTTGTCTTATGATCAAAGGCTAAACAGGGTGGGACTCTACCCAGAGATAGTAGGAACTGCAGATGCTGGAGAATCCGAGACAACAAGGTGCAGGGCTGGATGAACACAGCAGGCCAAGCAGCATCATAGGAGCAGAGAGGCTGACGTTTCGGGCCTAGACCCTTCATCAGAAAAGGGGGGAGGGGAAGGGGGTTTTGAAATAAATAGGGAGAGAGTGGGAGGCGGATAGAAGAGGGATAGAGGAGAGGATAGGTGGAGAAGAAACAAACAGGTCGAAGAGGCGGGGATGGGGCCAGGAAAGGTGAGTGTAGGTAGGGAGTTAGGAAGGGGATAGGTCAGTCCAGGGAGGACGGACAGGTCAAGGGGGCGGGATGAGGTTGGTCGGTAGGAGATGGAGGTGCGGCTTGAGGTGGGAGGAGGGGATAGGTGGGAGGAAGAACAGGTTAGGGAGGCAGGGACGAGCTGGACTGGTTTTGGGATGCGGTAGGGGGAGGGGAGATTTTGAAACTTGTGAAATCCACATTGATACCATTGGGCTGCAGGGTTCCCAAGCGGAATATGAGTTGCTGTTCCTGCAACCTTCGGGTGGCATCGTTGTGGCACTGCAGGAGGCCCAGGATGGACATGTCGTCTGAGGAATGGGAGGGGGAGTTGAAATGGTTCGCGACTGGGAGGTGCAGTTGTTTGTTGCGAACCGAGCGTAGGTGTTCTGCAAAGCGGTCCCCGAGTCTCCGCTTGGTCCTCCCTGTCCATCCTCCCTGGACTGACCTATCCCCTTCCTAACTCCCTACCTACACTCACCTTTCCTGGCCCCATCCCCGCCTCTTCGACCTGTTTGTTTCTTCTCCACCTATCCTCTCCTCTATCCCTCTTCTATCCGCCTCCCACTCTCTCCCTATTTATTTCAAAACCCCCTTCCCCTCCCCCTTTTCTGATGAAGGGTCTAGGCCCGAAACGTCAGCCTCTCTGCTCGGCCTGCTGTGTTCATCCAGCCCTGCACCTTGTTGTCTGGGACTCTACCCACTAGAGTTTAAAAGAATAGGAGGTGATCTCATTGAAACATTCTTAGGATTCTTAAGGGGCTGAATAGAATAAATGCTAAAAGGCTGTTTCCCATCATGGGACAGACTAAGACCAGAGGGCACAGTCTCAGAATAAAGGGGTGTCAATTTATACTGAAATGAGGAGGAATTTCTTTTCTCAGAGGGTTGCAAGTCTTTGAAACTTCTAGCCATTGAAAGCTGTGGGAGCAGAGTTCTTGTGTATAACAAAGGTTGAGATACATACATTCTTGATTAGTAAGGGAATTAAGAATCATGGGGAAAGAGCAGGAAAGTGACATGAGGAATGCCATCGGGTCAGCCATGATCCTGTTGAATGGTGAAGCAGACTCAAGGGCCCGAACAGCCCTATTTCTTACAGTTATGATCTTATTTGTGGGGAGAAACAAAGATAAACTTTCAAGTCCAGTGATTGTTCTGAAGAAGGGTCAAGGGCATCGGACATTAAAACTGTTTTCTCTTCAGAGGTGCTTCCAGATAGGCTGATATTCCCCAGCAATTTCAGGGTTTTAGGAACATAGGAACAGGAGTAGGCTATTCAGCCCATCAAGCCTGAACCACAATTCAATGAGATCATGGCTAATCTGGGGCCTAACTCCACAAGAGGACTTTGGCCCATTTGGGCCTTTGACTAATGCGGAAGAGAGTTCCAAGCATCTAGCACCCTTTGTTAGTAGAAGAGCTTTCTAACACCTCTCTTGAACAGTCTAGCTCTAACTCTCACACTATGGCCCCTGGTTCTGGAGTCTCCAACCAGTTGAAATCGTTTGTCTTTATCGATCCTTTGTTTTCCTGTCGGTATCTTGAAGACTGCAATCAGATAACCTCTCAACCTTCTAAATTCTAGAAAACCAGACCTAATTTGTATAATCTCCCCTCATAACCTAAACCCTGAACCTAAACTTACATTGTACTCCCTCTGAGGCAAATATGTCATTGATAAGATGTGGTGTCCAGATCTATTCACAATACTCTAAGCAGGGTTTAGCCTGAATTTTTTTAACTGCAACATAACTTCTGCATCCTTATACACCAGTCCTCTAGATATAAAGGCCAATATCCCATTAGCTTTTTATTACTTGCTGTACCTGTTTGCTACATTTTAAAGATCTATGCACCTGAACCCCCAAGTCTCTTTTGATATCCACTGTATTTAACTTCATACAATCTAAAAAGTATCCTGATCTGTCCTTTTTCGGTCCAAACTTTCAGACTTGCTCACATTGAATTCTATCTGGCACAGTTTTGCCCATTCACTTAGCCTATCTATATTGCTTTTTAATCTTAAATCTTAAGCTTCAAGTATGATTCTGACCCTGACAAAAAAATCAATTCGGAATAGGCTTTCCTCATTCAGTTAGCAATAATTAATGGCAATTCTGTATTCTGTGCTTTTAGTTTCTTTTGAATGTGAAGAGGTACAGCCGGAGCAATCATTTCCATTCAGTTAAATACATTTGCTACACCTCCCACAAATTTTCTTGTTTATCCTCTAATTCCAATGATATAAATCCCTATCCCAGTTCAGATAGGTACAGATTGTTAGTCACTGTTTTTAAAGGACGGAATGCCTTCACTTTGGGGCAATGAGCGAAATGGACTTTTATGAATAAACAGCATAAATATCTAAAAATGTTTCATAAAAGATATGACTGTAGATTTGGCTAATCACCACAGAAGTTTTGTACTAATAACCAGCTGAAACAGTGAAACGGGTGCAAGACCAGAATGAACATCTGTCGTGTGACACGGTCTCAGCACGAATTTGACATGTTTAGTTATGCTCCATTTTGGAGAAATTTCTCGCATTTTTGTAACAATTTTCATCATCCCCAGCTTTATAGTCACTGCAGTGTTTTTGGAACAATAGATACTTTTGTAATGTACAAAGCAAAGTATTCAATTTGCACACAGAAAGCTCTCACAAAGTGGCTAGATAATACCCCAGATCTTGAATTCCCTGAGGCTGAACAGTCTGTCCTCAGTAAGGGCTCACGTTCGTACCCCTTCACCCCCACCTCAACAAGTTCCGTGTCCGCCACGACATGGAACTCTTCTTCCGCCGCCTCCACCTCCATGCCTTCTTCTTCAATAAAGACTCCCAATCACCATCCAGGGACCCCTTGTCCCACCTCCAACCTTCCTCTACCTCTTGCCAGCCTCTTACCCGCCCTGGACTTCTTCATTGCTAACTGCCAACGCGA